AAAAAAAAAGAAAAAAAAAAAAAAAAAAAAAACAGGTGGCAGATTTGGTCCACAGGTCATGGTGTGCAAACCCCCGCCATAAAGCACACTTTGAACCCTACAGTTAGATGTGGCTTAATATCCATCTCCGCCAGGTAAGTTACTTAAACCAGGCAATTTTTTAACCTATATGTGCCTCAATTTCCTCATATGTAAAAGAGTATTAATAAGATCCTCCTGGGCTGGCCCGGTGGCGCACTCGGTAGAGTGCCGCGCTTGGGAGTGCGGTGGCGCTCCCGCCGAGGGTTCGGATCCCATATAGAGACTGGTCTGCTCACTGGTTGAGCATGGTGCGGACGTGACACCGAGGGTTGCGATCCCGTTACCGGTCACTAAAAAAGACAAAAAGGGAAACAAAATAAAATAAAATAAGATCCTCCTGTTTATTACATTGAAATATTAATAGCTTACAGCAAAAATCATCAGTGGTTACAAAAAGGCTGTTGAGGAACAAGATATTCACAAAATCTCAAATGAGTACTTGTAAGGGGATGGCCGGTTAGCTGACTTGGTTAGAGGTGGTGCTGATAACAGCACGGTCAAGCGTTCGGATCACCTTACCAGCCAGTCACAAAAAAATAAAATCAAACGAGTACTCATCAGGTATTTTGTTAAAAACAAAGGGGCATATTTTGTGAATGTACTTAATGCCACTGAACTGAACACTTAAAAAATGGTTAAAATGGTAAATTTTATGTTATATATGTATATTATCACAATAAAAAAAAAGTAGGGAGGACAGCTTAACACAGTAAAAGTTTGTATCTCATTCATGCAAGATCTAATGCAGTCTGGTGGCTTTGTCCATCTTGTAGCTGTGTCATTTAGAACATGTGGCTTCCAAGGTCATCACTGCAGGAGTAGAGAGAATTGGAGTCACACCAGTTAACAGCTGCCTTAGCCCAGAAGTGTATCACTTCTGGTCACAGTACACCTGGGAGAAATTGTTACATATATAGCCCTGACTTAATTGCAACGAGGCTGGGAAATGTAAGAAAGCATTTGAATACTTGGTGAGTACTGTCTCTGCACAGTCTATTTTCCCCCACTCCAACATCAGTGCCAAGAAGGTAAGGGATTCTTTCTGATTCTTCTTAGCATCACCAGTGACTAGCACAGTCCCTTGCTCATAGGTAGGGGGTCAAGAAGTGTTTGGTGAACAATAGCTGTTGGCTAATTAAATGAATGAATGAACAAATAAAGGAAAGAAACACATAATGCAAAATATACAAAATATATTTTTAAAATCTTTAGAAACTGATTTTATTATAAGACAAAGTTACACTTCTCACATTTAAAAAGTAACTTGTTCTACTTTTCTAAATATCTTAAAAGATTTAACCTTTTACTGAGGAAAAAAACAATCTTGTCTCTGCCCATAAAGTAAACATGAAATCTTTTTTTTTGCCTTTTTTTGTTTTTCTACTTTGAAAAAAATGCCTACTGTTCTGCCTTCCTTTCTAAAGCTGTCCACAAACATTTCCCATTATAAAATTAAAATATCTTTATTGTAGAAAGCTTTAAATATATACCAAAGAATATATGAAGAAAAAAATTTAGCTGGATCCCACCACCAGGAGATAGCTATTGTCTTTTTTTATATGTGACTGTGTTTGTATGTGTGTTTTATATGTGTGTGTGTATGTGTATATTTGTTAAACAAAGGTAGAATCCAAATCTATCAAGCATACCTTACGCAGCACCTCAAGTCTTCTTGGCCTTGCCTGTCTCTGAGACCCTTGACCTCTTTTTCCACTCCACCTGTCACTGGGCTGACCAA